TACAGTAAAATACAAAATTAATGTTTTACAGACCGTGGGGAAAAAACAGCAAAGGACTGTCATTTAAAGCAGTGGTTCTCAACCTGTAGGTTACAACCCTGCACATCTGTATTTACATTATAATTCATAACAGCAAAATTACAGTTATAAAGTAGCAATGAAATAATTTTATGGTTGGGGACCCACTACAACATGAAGAATGGTGTTAAAGTGTCACAGTGTTAGGAAGGTTGAAAACTACTCATTTAAAGCATTCTTTTATTTTGTGATTTTTGACTGTGGAATACAGTAGAATGTTAGTTCTTTTAAAGTAACAGAATTAATAATGATCAAGAATGCATAATTTATATTATAAAAATCTTAATTTGATTAAATAGTGTATGTGTTTACTTAGTAATCCAGTGAGATTTGGCAGCTGTTGTGCTTCAACATGGAGAAGGAAGACGGTGAGCTGAAAGAACTTCTTAGATTGATAAATGAGTTTGTGGGAGGATGAATGGGCCCAAGGACCAGGCAGTGGTAACTTGGGAAAGAGTTCCACTGGCATCTGGGGAGATGCCACAAGTTAGGGTGAAATAGGGACTGATGTTCTCTGAACAGCTCTCAGAAGATAGAATGGAATTATGTCCAGAGTAGACAAGGGTAGACCTTTGTGCCTTCTCAGTGATGAACGTCTCTAGTTAGTAGCTTTGGTGTTAACCAGAGAGAAAGATCCAAGGATCTGAAAGGATTTCATTCTTTCTGGAGGAGTGCCCTTGGCTAGGTAAGGGAAATATGGAATGCTGAAACCCCACCTCTACCTCCCTGAACTGGAGAGGAGAGTCCAGAGGTGGAAGGGCGTATCCAGAAGCCTTAAGACTTTCTCAGAGATCTGTAGCCTAGGTCTCTGACAGGAAAAGAATCAACAACACTAAAAAGAAGTGGAGAAAATATGTGCAGTGTACATCAGCATTTATGGCCTTACTTTAAGAACAGCTGTAAATTAGCATTTAAAATTCTTAATATCTCAATAGAAAATAGGCAAAGTAGATTCATAGACAATTCATAAGAAAAATAAATAATGCTTACTTAGTATTCTCAACCTAGTATCTGAAGAGCATTGAACAACAGAAATATAAATTATCTCAAATTAACAACTTAAGAAAATGATAGATTTGTTGGAAACTGGAGGAGATAAATTGGTATAGATGTTCATTTTTATATTATCCAGCTGTAAAATCAAATGGAAGACCTTTTAATGACATGACTGTGTCATAGTAGAATGTAATCCCAGCTAGTGGTTCTATTCCACTGTACTCACATGTATAGAAAGGTGTACTTTAAGGAGTTTTTCTATAGTAGCTAAGATTACTGATGAATTTATTCTCTTATTACTTAAATTTTCTTCCAAGTACCTATAGTGGATATGAGAATTAACTTTGATACTTAAAGTGCCAGACAAGATAATTGCTTAATAAGTTAGGTGCTGCTCATACCAAAGTACATTATTAATTTTACATGGTGTAGCAGATTAGTACTTTGTTTATCTGGGATCATGGCCAATGTCTTAATATTCTAAAGAGATAATGGTTTAATAGATGTTGAAAGAGCAGAAGTGATATTTTCAAAGGAGTAAAGAATAGATGTTTAACATACATTTATGGGTCTTAAAAATATATGTTCATATTGCTCATCAAGTTGAAGATCCAGACATAAATCACACAACTAATTTATACACCTCACTTTTGATAAACCAGAAATGCACACTGGAAAACAGTATCTTCAACAAATGGTGCTGATCTAACTGGATGGCTATATATAGAAGAATGCAAATAGATCTGTATATCTCACCCTGCACAAAACTCAACTCCAAATGGATCAAAGACCTAAACATAAGGCCAGATACACTGAATCTGATACAAAAGAAAGTGCCGAGTAGCTTGAACTTATTGGTACAGGAAAAGACTTTCTGAACATAGCACCATTAGCACAAGCACTAAGATTGACAATTAATAAATTTTCTTAACTTGATAAAACTAAAAAGTTTCTGTAAAACAATGAACAACAGCATTTGGACAAAGTGGCAGCATACAGAATGGGAAAGTATTTTTACCAACTGTGTATCCAAATAGAGTGCTAATGTTCAAAATATATAAAGGACTCAAAAAACTGGACCTCAAGCAAATAGCTCAATTTAAAAATGGGGTACAGATCTATAAACAGAATTCTCAAAAAAGGAAACTCAAGTGGCTGAGAAACACTTAAATGGTCAAAAATCCTGACTTGTCAGGGAAATGCAAATAATCATACTCCAGTCAGAATGGCCAAGATAAATAAATTCATTGCTCATGTGGCGAGGATGTGAGAATGCAAACTTATTCAGCTACCATGGAAATCAGTGTGGTGGTTTCTCGGGAAAATGGGAATTGATTTTCTTCAAGATCCAGCTATACCAGTCTTGGACATATACCTAAAGAATGTTTCATCTTATTACAGAGACACTTGCTTAGGTCTGTTAATTGCTGCTCTGTTCATAATAGCCAGAAATTGGAAGCAAGCTAGACATCTTGTCAACAGATGAATGGATAAAGAAAATGCAGTACATTTATACAACTCCATCATTAAAGAAACTGAAATCATGAAATTGACAGGTAAATGTGTGGAATTAGGAAAAAAAAAAAAAACCATCTTGAGCAAGGTAACCCAGACCCGGAAAGAAAAATGCATGTATTCATTTATATGTGGATGTTAGTTAAGTCAAAGTTAAACAAACTATAATATATGGAATCACAGAGGTTGTTTCTCAACCTTCCTAATACTGCAACCCTTTAATACAGTTCCTCATATTGTGGTGACCCCCCCAACCATAAAACTATTTTTGTTGCCCCTTCATAGCAATAATTTTGCTAACGTTATGAACCATAATATAAATATCTGATATGCAGGATGGTCTTTGGTAATCCCTGTGAAATAGTTTTCAAAGGGGTTGATACCCACAGATTGAGAACTTCTGTGTAGAGTAAGGGACTGGGGAATGATGCATCTCCCTAGGGCTGGGAAATTGAGTAGATAGTTATGGATGAATGGTGGTTGGAGTTGGGGTGGGGACTAGAACAGGAGAATCAAATAGAGAGGGGAAGAGAAAGGGGAATGAGGGAAAGAATATGGGGAGGGGGAAGGAGAGCTAAATTGAGGGCCATTTGAGGGGTTGTATAGATACCTAATACAGTAGAAGCTTTCTAAAGTGTGTACGTACGTGTGTGTGTGTGTAAGAGATGGAGAGAGACTGTGTGTGCGTTCTAAGTGAAATTGCCAAATACTGTGGGAGACACCTCCAACTGGACATGTCTCATCACTAAATGAAGTTTTAGTACTGGTACAGTAGTGCAGTGGAGTTCAAAGCTTGTGGGAGTAATCAATTTGATTTAAGGCCTACTCTATACGTGATGCTGCTTGGGTGAACAAGAACTTGAGACTGACTAGCCCAGGGACTTAGGGGAAAAGTAAATACTACTGTTGTATAAAAGGAATGAAACAATAAAATGACTCCTAATGACATTCTGCTATACTCTTGATCAGTGCCTTGCTCAGCCATCAACAGAGAAGCTTCCCGCTGCAGCAGATGGGAACCAATACAGAGACCAACAGCCAGATACTATGCAGCAAAGCAAGAGTGAGAGACCTTGGAGCCCTCTACCCTAATTGGGGTGACTCTATCAAATCCTTCCAGTTAGGGCTCAGAGAACCCTGTGGAGAAGGAAGTGGAAAGAGTTTCAGACCCTGAGGGGAGGGAGGACAACAAGGAAATAAAGCCTCAGAAACACAGTAGGCTCAAGGCATATATGTACTCAGACGGAGGCAGCATGTATGGGACCTACAAGGGCCTGAGCCAGATGGGGTCTGAGAGCTGAAAAGAATGGGCATATGCCCCCATCTCTAGCCCAGAAGATGTTGATGACCACTTGTGAATGAAAAATGAGTTTTCTCCAAGGAAGTCTTACAGGGGAAACAAATCAGTTACTCTGAGGCATAGGGTATGATAGGGTATGGCCATAGTAGATGGCCAACTGAAAACGAAGTTAGGCATTTTTGAGGTTCCTGTCTCATAATGTCATGTTGAGGCTTTTTAATTTTTTAAAAATTTTTACTTTTGTTTTATGTATTAATTTGCCCTAAGATTTTGCTGTGTGATTTTGTTGGGTTCCCGAATGTTCGATCAAGTATATCTGTGTGTCTATATCTGTTTCTTGTGTCTTTTCTTGGCCCCTCTTTCTTCTGTTTTGTCCTATTCTGATATGTTTGTTTTTGTTTTATTATTAGCACTGTTAATTATGATAACGATAGAAATCTGAAAACAGTATTTTAGGAAAGGTAGGTATAATTCAATCAATTTTCTGGTCCAGATAAACTGGAAAGGAGGCCTGTCTTCTGATGGGACTTACTGTTGAAACAATGTCCAGCACTGCCCTCAGGCTGATGTTTCCAAGAGGAGGTTTAGCCTGTCTTGTCTAGAGGTTGCCAATCCCTCCGTTGTACTTAGAGCTTACTGTGTTGCTTTTTGTGTTGGATCATCAGCTCCACAGGCCCACACAGACCAATACATGCCAGTGTCTAAGGGTTATAGAGGAACAGAGCGCAAAGTAACTTCACTCTCTCCACTTGTTCTCCTGTGATTTGACTGTGGTTGGGAACCTGTGTTTATGGTGACTTTTCTATCCCTCGTTAATTAATGTAGTCAGTGTCGCTGTGTTACATTAGCAGTTTTCCTCTGAAATGGAGGAGATTGAAGAAGCTGTATTCTCCAAAATGATAAAATAATGACAGATACTCAACTAACAGAGTATTTAAATGTTGCAGGGTCGTCTTATAAGCACACTAAATATCATGGTGGAGTTTGTGACCAAAGCATGTCTGTCTTTTATTAACTCAGAGGATACCTAGCCTGGCGTAGACAGAGTTGGTGGAGTTTAGTCGTGTTCATGAATGTTGCAGTCACATCAGTTCCTTTCTTTATCTTGCAGCCTGTCCGGCACGTGAAGTACTCCTTGTTTAGGAAGTCTCTCCTGGGCAGCGTTTCAGATAACGGAGTAGTGACTCTCTGGGATGTGAACAGTCAGAGTTCATACCATAGCTTTGACAGTACACACAAAGCTCCAGCCTCAGGCATCTGCTTCTCTCCTGTCAATGAATTACTGTTTGTGACCATAGGCCTGGACAAAAGAATCATCCTTTATGACACTTCAAGTAAGAAGTAAGTGTGTTGTCATGAGTGTCTGCTTTGAGACAGGGTCTCACATAGCCATGGTAGGCCTCAAACTTGTCAGATAGCTAAAGATGACCTTGAACTTCTGATCCTCTTGTGGGCTGCTGGGATTACAGGTATATGTCGCCACACCCAGAATATGTGGTGCTTAGGATCAAACCTAGGGTTTTATGCATGCTAGGCAAGCACTGTATCCACTGTATTCACTACATTCCTAGCCCTAGCACATCCTTACTTTAGTGACAGCTATTTCATTAACAGATGTGTTTGTGGCTTACACAGGTATCTGATTACTATTAAGGGGATCTGATATTTGTGCATTTGATGTATCCAATACAGACATTTTCGGTTTTCTTAGACAGAAGCGACTGGCATGGACATTAGAGTACTTTTAGACCATGAGTGTTGAGAGAGACAGAGATAGACAGAAAGAGAGAAAATCTTCATTGAACATCTTTATTTTATCAGTCTTAAGATTCTTTTGTAAAATAAAAATATACTTTTTAAAAGCAATTTTGTTTTAAAATTCTTTTCTGTATTGAAGTTTCTAAGCTAATTACAATTTGGCCTTTGTTATGGAGTGCTGCTCTGAGCATTAATATATTTCAGCACTGTCCTGGGTTTCTCCCCTCTAAGCCGAGGGGCATTTGCTAAGTACGATAGTCTCCAGACAGCATCACATATCCCTAAGAAATATTGCCCCTGCTTAGGTAGATAAGATTTGAACCATTCAAATTCTGCTTTTGTGATAACTGTGCTTAATTTAGAATTAAAAAAAAAATGGCTGCTAGAATTTAATCAGTGCTAAGCAGTATTTAAAGATCATGTAGAATGCTGATGTACTCTACGTTACTGTGGGGGAAGATACCAAATTCTGGCCTTGTGGCAGTACCCCAGTAGTTACTGTGACCTGTTTCACCATCTTCTATTTTAAAACAATTCACTGACAGCCTCTACTTCAGCAAGCCGTTTTTGTTTTGTTTTGTTTTTCTTCTTCTGTGGTACCAGATAGACCAGCAAAGAGCACATCAGTTTCCCTTGGCTGGCTGAGGTCCAGCCACATGAACTTTATTGCTTTTAGCTTTTTGGTCAAGAGATGTACAGCTGAGAACAGAGGAACATCTGCTCCTGTGGAAGGTCGAAGTACCCCAGGGACAAGCAGGCCACTAAGTTGAAACTGGATACGTGGTGCCTGCTCAGCCCTGAGGCTGGCTGCCAGTCATCACATTGGCTGTCACAGTCTACCTGCTCCAGGAAATAGGAGATCTACCTGAAAAATGTAAACTATGCCTTGGTGGTGTGAGAGGAAAACTGGATTAGAATGTTCCGTTTGTTACGGGTCATTTTGTTAGCTGTGTGTCTCTAAGACATATTTCAAACTGCTTTACACAAGTATTTGGGGAATGTGCTGTTTGAGCAGATCTGACTTGGTGTTTTTGATGAATTGGTTGTCATCTTAGCTTATATTCCTGTGGACACTAATGTATGGCATATTCTCCTGCTTTTCCAAAGGCTAGTGAAAACTTTAGTGGCCGACGCTCCTCTCACTGCAGTGGATTTTATGCCGGATGGAGCCACTCTGGCTATTGGGTCTTCCCGTGGGAAAATATATCAGTATGACTTAAGGATGCTGAAATCACCCGTGAAAACCATCAATGCCCACAAGACATCTGTGCAATGTATAGCATTTCAGTACTCCACATCTCTGACGAAGGTGAGCTACTGTTTTTAACATTTTCTAATTTACTAAAAATTCCTAGCTCAGAAATGGGTAATTGTCTTGTCAACTAATCACAGCGTTGTCTTGCTTCATGGTGACATTAGACATAGTTTTAGAATAAATCCATTTGAGACTTGATTTGAAGTTCTTTGGTGTTTAATTCTTCTGTACACTCTAATCAAGGTTATTTTAAAATACATTGTTGTTTAGAGCAAAATTCAGATATACCAGCAATCTTCAGATTTATAAGAAGAAAAATTAAGTTTTTAATTTAGCAGGGCACTTATAAAATATTAATGTATGACACATTAGTAACCTGAGCCTTTAAACATTCTATCCCATCCAGGCGAGTTTAAATAAAGGCTGCTCAAATAAGACCCCAGCAGTGAACAAGCGGAGCAGCAGCACTGCTGCTGCCCAGAGTTCTGGAGCTGTCAGAGAAGCACCCGCCCCTTCCATTGCCACAGTGCTCCCACAGCCCGTGACGACAGCTGTGGGCAAAGGAGCAGTGGCTGCTCAGGACGAAGCAGGTAATTTTGCTTATGCCGAGTGATCTGAGGGCTTTGTCTTTCTCCCAAAACTAGCACTTTCTTCAAGAACTTGGGACTCATTTGAGTACTTAGGCAAAACTGATTAGCAGCTAGCATTGAAAAAAAGAAGCTTATTAACTTCGCCTTGTTAAAGAGCTCTTGAGAGCACTTTCTTCAGCTGAATTTCTGTTGTGAGAAAGTTTAGTGACTATTTTAGACATGGAATACTAGAAGTCATTTGTCCTTAACACTCCCTCAGACTGGTTGATTTTCTTATACGTCATAAGCAGAGAGTAGGAACCTCAATGCTGTCTGGTTTAACCTTATAGTCAAAAAAGTAAAACATCAAAGACAAGATGAAGAGCTATTCATGGTTCTTTTTAAATTTTTTGTACAATTTATATATTATTTATATAATAATTATTATATATGTCATTATATGTCCTGATGAAGCTGCTTCCCTCAACTCCTCCCAGTTGCACCCTCCCTCTCTCTTGGTTCTTTATGTTTCATATCTCAAAATGAAAAGGGAATCAGGTGGTAGGATAAATATTTTGAAATGCTGACTAGTGCCTGGCACACATTAAACTGTCATTTGTTAACTGAAAGTTAATAGTGTGTAGGTGATCTCTAATGATCATCCTGTTGACCCTGCTAGGTCAGAGGAAGGTGCAGTGTAGTGGCTGTGCTGCGCGTTGCCTGTAATACCGTATATTCAGTGATGCAAGTACCTTGGCTTACCTTGCAGGTCAAGTGCTTGCTCTTCAGTGTGAATTTACTACTTCTAAGTAGCTGCAGAACTTTGATGTGCAGACGTTGGAAGGGTGAAGTAGCGGTTTTCATTATTGGTTTCCTCTGACAGCCTGTGTCACTCTTACAGAATAGTCACAACATACAGAAAAATGACTAGGTCCGTTTCTAAGAACTTGGAGACAAACACTGTGGCTGTTTACTTGGAGGAAATTATTTTTTAAATATAACTGAATAATGTCTATTAAAATCCTGAATTGGCTGTATTACAAAGCTTTTCCGTGAGTTTCCTGAGTGATTCTGCTTTTTGTTTTGAAAAGCCCTTCATTGACAGATTCTGCTGCTTTTCTTGATGCTCAGTTTTAAAATTTTAACAACATGGGTAATGCTTGTTTTATAATCTAGCTTCCAAGTTAGCAGCTATTTAGGTGTATGTAATAACACTGACTCTTGTATCTAATTCTTCCAAGGCTTGCTTCGAAGCAAAAATACTGATTCTTTATCCAAGGAAACAGATGGTGGAAAAAGTCAAGAGTTCTCCAGCTTTGATGATACTGGGAAAAGTAGTTTAGGTGACATGTTCTCACCTATTAGAGATGGTAAGTGTATTCAGATACGGCATAGTCTCTTGCTGCTGTTAGATATGGGTCTGAATCATACAGTGGTTCATTTCCTCAGGTCTTGAGTTGGATCTTTCCTGGATCTTCTCACATGGTAACATGTGAGAAGTTACCATGCTAATGCCGCCTTTGTACATACATTATCTCCTCCACCTGCATCCACCCAAGGTTCTCTGTGTAGCCCTGGCTGTCCCAGATTCACTTTGTAGGCCAGGCTGCCCTCGAACTCACAGAGGTCTGCCTGCCTCCCCGAGTGCTGGGATTACAGGAATGTGCCACTGTGTCTGGCTGCCAACATAATTTCTTAAGGAAATTTCTACCACTATAAGCAATCTCTGACTTACATCTACTTCAAATAAACCTCCCTAGAATTTCGGGTGTTTGGTATGTAAAAGTAAAGATTACTAGTATTTATTTGCTATTCAGTGTTTTCATGGCTAGGTAATGACTGCCTCTTTCTGATACACTTGTCCATGATAATTTCGTGTGTATGGTATATCATCTCTGCCATTACCCTGTAGATGTCACCATTGAAAAGAAGCCTTTGCCTCCTTGATGTGTGGGCACAACATATGCCGTCGTCCAGCTGTGCTTCTTCTGTTCTTCTGAGGCTCACACTCCTTAATGGCTTTAGTGCTAATAGCAGTATCAGTGATCCAGGCAGATATCTGAAGAGCAGTTTGACAGTTAAATTATTCATATTTTCTGGCCTGTTAATTCCATTTCTACCAATTTACCTCAGAAAATATTCAGAGACATCTGTAAGATTTGTGTTTACTGTTTTATTTATAATGGAAAGCCAAAAAGAATCTTAATGTTCTTAGTAGAGGATTTAAATACACACACAAGAAAGAGCAACTTTTGTATTTAAGACTGAAAGGGGGCTTTTTTTTTTTTTTTCATTTTTGTTAGTGTTTTGTTTTTGTTTATTGAGACAGGGTTTTTCTGTGTAGGCCTGGCTGCCCTGGAACTCACTCTGTAGACCAGGCTGACCTCAAACTCAGAGATCTGCTTGACTCTGCCTTCTGAGTGCTGGGATTAAAGGCGTGAGCAACCACTGCCCAGCTATGAAGCAGTGATTAAGGAAAGCCAGGACAAATATAATGCTTGTTTTTGTTGATGAGGAATTGGTCTTAGTCTCAAGGGTAAAATTCATAATCTTTGTGCGTCAGCTTCTTTATCTGTTAAATAAAAATTATTTTTATATTAAGAGGAATCCAAGAGCTAAAAAAGTCTGTGTGTGTGTGCTCACGTGTGTGTGTGTGTGTATGTGTATGTATGTGTGTGTGTTTGTGCGCGCGCGTGCGTACATGTGTGCATGTGAGTGGAGAGAGTGTGAGTCTGGAGTGTATCAGTATGTATGTATGAATGTAGTTACTGGATGAATACACGTGCAGATAGGCAAGGTTTCTGATCAGGTAATCGTTGACTTATTGGCCATTTGTTTTTCTGGTGTATTTTCTAGTATGTTTGCTTATTTTTCTGTTAATGTGCTGACATTGAGTTCACAGTTTTTGTTATATATTGGTAAAATGAATAATTGCAATATTGCAGTAGTCTGTGATTCGAGTTAGTATTAATAAAGCCATGTGTTTTTATAACATTGTAATACTTGTAAAATATTATTTCTGTTAATTACTCAAAGAACTTTGTGAGATAATCAAGGCATTATTTCTAGTGTAAATATGTAAAAATTAAAGATTAACTCTATTGGAAGCTTGTCCCAAATCAGATAGATACCAAATGGAATAAGTGAAACTGGGTTGTTGAACGTGAGCACCCATTTTTTACGGCTTGTTCATGCAATGCTGTCTTCTTTTCGTGACCCTGGGATGATCCTGCATATTTGCTATTCTGTAGGGAACTAAGAGAAGGAGAGGGAGAAGGGAGACTTGAACCAGGCTCATGTTGATGCTTGACTTCACACATGCTCAGGAGTGCCAGGCTCTGTACTCTCTCTTGAGACGGTGAATAGAAGCCCAAGTTGCTACAGCTTTTTGCTTTCTTTCTTTCTTTCTTTCTTTCTTTCTTTCTTTCTTTCTTTCTTTCTTTCTTTCTTTCTTTCT